TGTTCTTTGTTCTTTATTGTACACACACAGGAAAAAAAAATTGCAGTAATAAAATAAAAGTAATGTACAAGGGCGAGCTTATCTCTAAAAAGAGATTTCTTCCAGCAAACCTAGAAAATGTTATAGGATAATTTGGTCATTAGATCAGCCATACATACGTGTACGAGAAAAGAGAAGAAAAAAAGGGGAAAGGAAGACATTAAAATTATATAAATATTAATAAGTCACACTATAAGAAGGAATAAACATACACAAATATATAAATATATAGACATACATAAATTGTACATAAATAATATATAAGGTTTCGGTTAATATATAATTGTAATACATATATATGTATAATAATAACAAGCGGCTTTTAAATAACCAATGATTGCTAAAAATTTTTACTGTGCATTTGTACGAATTAATCTCAGGAACGCGTTCATTGGTTTAATGCTGTTTTTACTTACAATGGTTATTATATTTTGATTTATAAAATTATCGCGGTTTCAGCTAGTTTTAAATAAGTCGCTATAATTAATTATCCTTTACAGTGTGATTGAGAACTTTCAAAGCTAAGTAATCATTCATTTTCTTATAGTAATAAAATTATTTCAAGACAATTCACACAGCAACATGTAGTCCTAAAGCAAGCAGAGCTTGTGTTATTGGTACTAGACAACTAATAAAAGTACATTTCTTTTGTAAATACTTACCTATCATGTACAGAAAACACCCAAACCGTTACTAATAATCATACTCTGAATATGAGTGTTTGTATGGTGCAAGAAATCGAACTCGCGTCCATCGGAAGTAAAGCGATGTGTCAAACCGCTATAACGCCTATGCCGTCACTTCATAATAAATATGTGCATATGGGTAACTACAATTTGTTAAGACATAAATAAGTATTAGAAATGCGAACTATGTTCGTTTGTTTGATATCTTTTCATGACTAAACGGTTAATCTTAATCATTGTATAACGAAGCCAGACATAAGATACCTTTTATGCCAAAAGCTAAATGGGGATGAAATTAGGGGAGAAAGTTTGTGACACGAATTTGTAGACAAAATCTACTAGTAGTATATATAATTCAAATTAAGTGTTGAATATTGAAAGTTTTGGTTACGATTACGGAAGCAAATAGAAACATAAATATTATAGAGTGGCAACTCGATGGAGACGCGTTTAACCTGTTCTATGATTCCATGCGCTTTGATCTCAATATAAAATATAGTGACATAACTAAATTTATAGCATGAAATCAATTATATGCAAATGGCATTGATAAATCATTCAAGTTCATAAGATTAACTGCTTCTCACACACTGTAGGCCGTTATGTAAACTTACTCATCATCTGCTTCTTCCTTATTATATTTATATGAGGTCGGCGTAATATTTTTTTCCCTTTCATTCGTTCGCAGTCATCTCGTTATTTACTCTTTTCTTTTTCTAACGGCTTTAGATGAAACTTTACAGTAGGTAATGTAGGTTACATATAAGAATAACATAGACTCTAAATTTCATGCGGGTGAAACCAGGGCACAGCTGGTACCTAATAATGCTGTTAATACCATAAAATAAGAGACTTTCACTGTGAAAGAAAGTAAGAAATTTTCACTGTGATCACCAGTCTTTTTTTTTAATACGGTCTGGTGCGAATCAGATTCCCACTTCTAGTCCGCGAGCCAGATCTTAATTTCATCAAACATTTGCGCTATCTAGACCCAAGTTAAGCTAGCTAAAGCTTGTGTTATAGGTCCTAGACGACTGATACAAATACAGAGATATTTTTTTACGTTAATACAAAAACATATTATACATGGAAAACACCCAGACCGATACAAATAATCATATTCATGAATAAAATGTTTGCACCGTGCGAGGAATCGAACCCGCGACCATCGGAAGTAAACCGTGATATGCATATAAAATATAGTTATACAAAAATGCCTTATATTTTTCAAAATGACATAAAATACACAACCGATCTAAGTTAAGTAAACTGAGCTGCCTTAATCAGTCCTTTAAAAATCATATTATCTTTCACAATTCTATGACATGATCTCTTACAAAATTTCTATCAAACAAAACGGAATTAAAACTTTGATTATTAAAAAAATCATCACTATTAATTCAGAATTGACAAATACACCTAAATATATAACATCCTTTACATATACATAGCTACATAATGACCGAAATTATTTCTTCCACCATCAGATGTAATCCTAACAATCTTGTACATTTGTAACGATTTTGTCGAATCATCTATCTACAGCATCATTATGATTAGTTTGTACAAGTGAGAAGACAAATTTAGAATGTGTTTATTTTATTGATGGCCTCGGTGATCTAGCGGTTTAGCAAACAGCCTTACTTCCGATGGTTGCGGGTTCGATTCCTCGCACGGCACATACATTTTGTATTCATGAGTATGATTGTTAGTATTGGTTTGTGTGTTTTATATATCTATATATATTTACAAAAAAAAAGATATCTATGTATTTGTATCAGTTATCTATTACCCATAGCACAAGCTTTTATTTTAGCTAGCTTATCTTGTGTCTAGTCGCTGTGTCGTGTGTGTCTGTGTCGCTAGTGTCGCTGAGTGAAATGTCCTGAGATTACCTCATAAAAAACAAAAAGGTGAACAATAATGACACAGAATTAAAACGAGTCATTTATTTAACATTTTGTTCAGTGATCCCGAATCCATAATTTTAGAGATCTGGTAAAAAAATATATAATGCATCCATAATTCTTTATACTACATCATAACACTTAAAAGTCTGTCATAAATCTAGACATAGTAACGATTAACTAACAGCTGAATTCTGTTGTTATATCAAAAGGAACCATCTTAAATTACGTCATATGAATTTCATGACATCCCTTAGTCTTTGTCACAACTGGTCACATTTATGTAACTCCATCTCCGTATTGTGATGTCAACAGCATTTTCGAATTTAGTTCTAATTATATTCATAATTATTGATAAAATTATCATTAATAATTATCATTAAAATGCAATTTTTGGAATGTGACATCACTAAATTTATTACCGTGTCACACTCCGTCGTATCCCTCTCCTCCACTTAATATATGACGTAATTTCACGATCACGAATAGGTGTTTTACACTCTTACTCTTTATTTGCGTCTTGTTTGTATTTTGTGTTGTAACTCATACGAGAGCGTAAATCACAAAGTACATATTTTACAAGTACACATATCATATTATCAAATATATTGGATCGCTATATCAATTAGTCAAATTAAGTTCTGTACAATTGATGTATTTTTTATATTACTACGTTATTATCAAAATTATGTGCCTCGTTATAATGATATTAAAAATACATCAATAACTTCATAAATCAACTGTTATGTATCTTTAATCGAATATATTTGAGGATGTATTATAATAAATTCGATCCGTACACAATCGCTATGTATCCTACTGGTTGTTACCTATAAAAATAAAAATATCATGTTACACATCACCTAAAAATCAAATAGAGCAGTATCATCTTCAAGAGCAGAGGCGGATCTACCTAAGGGCTTTTTGGACTGCAGCTCAGGGCCCTGAAGATACAAAGGGCCCCCAGTCACCACTGAAATGATATTTAGAATATAAAAAAATATCTAGAATGTTAAAAAAACCCTATCATAAGGTTGTCAACCATGATCAATCAATCAATCAACCCATGCAAGTGCGCGTCTATCGAAACGGGGATTTTCGAGCCGCTTGTTTTTGGTCGGTGAATTTTTTCAGTTGAGTAATACAATTAGGTAGGCCACTAAGTAGATTTAGCCTAGAGCACCACAAATTCACTATCCGCCCCCGTTCAAGAGTCTACAGTTTAATTAACAATACATCTTTTATGTAGTTGTAATGGCAACCAAGTGGTTGACCTTCCTGATGGTGAATGATTACAATCGTCTATACATGGACATCACGTTATCAAGCGATACCCATAATCACTCATGCGTTGTCACTTCGGAGGACGTAAGATTTTATGCCTCCAAATTCTATAATTTCACTACCATATCTCACCCTTGAACAGAAACTCAGCTTACAAAGCGAGGTGCTTGGCGGCTGAAATAGGTGACACTGAAGTACGCAGACATTTTTTAACAAAATCTTTGTTGGTAAAAATCTATAACAATATACATATAATATAGTATCAGTATCTGTAGAGGACACATTATGAAATTCTGCTCTATTTTTACATACTCATAATAGAAACTATAATTTACAAAATGACTGGTATGTCAAAACTTTATTAAAATTTAATTATTTTGATCTTTGGTCATAGGCATACCTAAATATACAGAGTAATAATAGTATCTATATCTAAAATATCTTTAAACTGTATACGTTCATTGAATACAAAGAAAATATATGGTGCATTTATAACTTAATCCATTTTTTCCATAAAAAAATATTGGTATCAAGAAGAAAACCTTATCAATAATAAAGTAACATCTAGCTTTCTACCAGCTCGCGCTGGACAAATAACAACTACCTATATCAATATGCCATTTTTAGTTACTACTCTTATACATGCTTCCCCACAATTATAATAATTGACATTACACTACAGGTACACCTTTTGTTTTAAGAACGTCGAAAGAATCTAGCTCACTCTATGTATGATCTTTGAGAAAAGTGTAAATTTATCCGCGCCAAATAATCCATAGTAAGCGTATTCTTCATAATCTTAAAAATTATATTTTCTTTGGCTTTTTTGGCGCGGTATTAGCCTATTTGTAAGAGATTTTACTACATTTTAATGTAAAAATCACTATACTGGCAAGAGATTGTGATGTTGGCAATCTTACGTAATTATGGGTAAGTACGGTACTGATTAACACTTAATAACAGTTTAACGGCTATTAAAATATTTACTATATTTTGTTTTTATATTTGATCTATTCTAATGCTGTTGGCCGCAGCTAGCCTTTATAGCATCACTGGACGGATATGGGGGCCAGTGCAAAGAGCACACGACACCCGCGGAAGGACTAAAAGAGTGGCTGAAAGCCAACTCCTGCTCGCCCGTCACCTATTTTATTACTCTAAGCGACTGTTCATGCATTACGCACACAAAATTAACAAATTTATATACTTATGGAGTTACATTTTGATATAGTTAAAATTTGAACTATTTAATATTTACTAATCTTTAAGGCATCTATAAAGCTATAGTCGTTATATTGTAACAGTAAATTCTAATATCATATTTTAAATTTTACTTAATTCAAATATTATATTAAACCCATTTAAATAAGTAGAATTAAATATTTATAACAGAGTGAAGTATTATTTTATACTAAAGTAAAATTTAGGTATGAAAAATGCATAAAGGTTAAAAACATATGAGCGTAGTTCTCATGCAGTGGAATTTAGTACCATAAATTATTGTGGCAAACCATTTTAAGACACTGCTTGTGTTTTAAGTACGGATTATACAATAAATTTGCTATACTATAAATTCAATGTAGTGGACTTAATCTAGTTGATGAGCACTTGTTACTAATCTGGTGGTCTAGTTCTTGGGGATTCATCACCAAAACAATGTTTATGTGCGGGGTCCTTATAAGAATTCTCATGTAGTACACTATGAGAGCTAGTACGACATTTTGTTAAACACAGTTCATAGTCGTCAGTCAGAGAACGAAATAATACATTCTCCTCTGCAGACAGCTTTGACAGTACCAATTCTAGCATGTCTCTCTGAAAATAACAAACATATACATATATATTATAAATAAACATTTCACTATAGGCATTATTTTATACAATATCATGTTTATGGATCTATTATATTTCTGTAACCACTTGGACAGGTTGACATTACATGCTGTGTTCTAGGTTAAAGGCTTTATTAGGCCAGTAAACAACTGGAGGAATATCACCTAAATTCTCCAGAGTGACAAGGCAAGTGTCAAAAGACATTATTTTATCAAGGCCATAGTACCTACAGTTCATGTCTATAGGCCTACAGTTACCACTTTTCATAAGGTGAGTCCTCAGCTTGATTGTAGTTCTAATTAAATAATAAATATACTACATTGTCTATATTAATAACAAAATAAAACAATGTACGAACCTTTCCAGGATCTAAACAACAAGACACACAGTACTCATATATGATACAACAGTTATTTTCTCTACAACTCTCACAACTATATCTGTGTGTAGACTCAGCGTCTATATCACAGCAGCCATTCTTCAAAACATCAGTCCTTTGACAAACATTGCCTGAAAGATACAATGATTACTGTTACTTATAATAATGGGAGATAATTTAAACTCTCTACATTTTCAAGCTCAGGACTTCTCTTGACTTATTCTTAATTTTCTTCTTACTCTTGCTTGTACAGCTATTCTTAGCCATATTTAAAAAAATTACATGGTAAGTCGAAAACTAACTCAAACATCAAGAAATAAAAAGCAAAACTTTTTTAATGTATTTCATTTTCTACCTACAATCAATCCTTGAACTAATAACATAACATATATAACTTTTAAATGTGAGATCAAATAACAGAATGGAGGATTTTCTGATTAGGATGCTTCATGTATATGGACTTTCATTAATGAACCAAGGGAAACCCAAGGGATATTATCCTCAGTATAATATATTACTCCTATTAGATGATGTTTATATGTGACTTTGAGGAATATTTTTGTTAGGAGAAAAACTGAAAATAAATTTCTAACTTTCATACTAAACGGTAACCTTACAATATCTCTATAACCCTACAATATAGAAGTTTTTAACAGCTAGCATTTACAGGTTTACCGAAAGATAGGTGAGTGCAGATGGCATGCCAAACCCTTTGACTTTATTTGTTTCAAATCATATCTTTACCTCTGTCATCAACCAATAATTGTTTCCCTTGTACTGAATTTCTACACATAAATTGGTTGATTGTATCATTGTGTTCTTGCAATGTCCTCCAAATAAATGGTTTTCTTTCTATTGATATATCTTGGTAAATCATATGTCTGGTGTTACTCTGGAAATTAAATACACAAACAGTATAAAGACAAATGTACACGAATGTAAGCAATGTAAGCAATGTTCAGCAGAATAAAATAGATTCTTAAATTAAGTTTCTAAATTTATATTAAAATCAGTTTTTGGTTGAAATAATGTGATATTTGAAACATCTATTATACATTTTTATTAAATAATTAACTTACAAATATAAACCTAGCATAGTTATATAATTAACTAGCTACTCGCCCCGGCTTCGCACGGGTGTACATGTATTATATATATAAGTTGTCAATTGCGTTTTGTTATTTCAAGTCTGATTCTTTTTTGTTATACCATGTTTTATAGTGACTGACGTTTCATGTCAAGTCACACGGGAATGCTGTCGAACGGGATAAAAAGTATCCTATGTCCTTCTCCTGGCTCTAAACTACCTCCCTGCCAATTTTCAGCTAAATCGGTACAGCCGTTCTTGAGTTATAAGTGGAGTAACTAACATGACTTTCTTTTATATATATTAATTATTATTGCCTTAACCATTAAAAGTAATATATCATAATTATAAAAGGTTGCTATACATATCCACATTATTATTATTATTATAAAAAATGAAACATTTGTATTTTTGAATATTTGTAACAAATACACTGAGAACTACTGCACAGAATTTTCCTCTCTGAATAACATATGCTAAAATAGGATCCCTACTATACTAATTTAAACATTACATTACATTGATACCAAAACTGTTCAAAGAATAAATGTTCTCCTGTGCCATAAAGCCTGGATTACTAGCATTAAATGTACAATTAGTTAAATAAAACTTTATTAGGTCACATACTTGAATTTTTATTTGTCTTCTAGTAACAAAAAAAAAGGTTAATTTAAGTATAGTTTAATCATTATTAAATAAGTAATTATTAATATGCTTATTTTTCCTATTAACACTACAAGTACTGATGAACGTAAATAGAAATTACTAACCTCTCGTAAAAAACTGACGATGCAATAAGTCAGTGAAGACGCAAATATTATGCCCAATACTAATCGCCTTCGAATAAACCTGACTAAAGCCGCATACCACATCTTATGTATAATGTTTGCTCTACTAGTGCGTATGCAAAATCTAATATTAAGCACATATAAATGAAAAAACAAGAACATTTTCGTTCAGACGTAGCTTGGTAACATCGTAGTACCAAGCAGAACTTTCTCCCAAACCATTTTATAACAAAGTAAAGCACTATGGTTCAATTACAATGTGTTAAAAAAGATTGTAATAAAAGGATAATTATGTAAAACATGTTTCTTATTAATTTAACTATATCTATTATTGTACCAAAATAATTGTAAATAATCTCTAATATTCTATATGAAGCTACCAGACGTCAGTTTTTTTCCAGTCAGTCAGTTTAGTGTTTACCAGAAGTCAGTTGGACAGTCAGGACGACGACTTTGACGCTGACAATATATGTATGTTCATATAGAGCGTAGTGATTACTTACTTAGTGGTCTGAGGTCTTAAGTAAGAAGGGTTCAAATTCGTAAGGCTCATCATGAATTCATGACTCATCTTTATTACATGATATAAATACCTGCAAAATCTTAAATCTTATTATATATATATACCATAGCTAAGTTTGTACAATATTCATCAATGGTTCAAATGGTTTTATTATTAAATTTTACTTTTGAATTAGATGTTTATATTATAATTTGAGTACTATTTGAGGAAGTTAAATTTATTAATTAAATTAATTAACTAAATTATCAATGAAAGAAATTTTACTATTTTCAGGGACATTAGACAGTGATCTTTTCGGCCAGAAATATTATTGTTTTCATTTTCCTTTCCGATGTGACCAATATCTACAACTGTTCCAAGTTTGAAACTGATAACATTAGTGGGCAAGAGGAGACGAACGAAGCAATAAAGTCGCTGTATGTAATGATTTCTTTTTTCTGTTATGGATCGAAACACAGAGTTTGTGTTTTCAGTGGGTAGTTTTAACGTGATTTTTTTCCGTCTGGCTATTTACAAAGTGAGCAAAAAAAGGACCATGATGGTAGAGTGTAAACCATCAGAATTGGGTAATTTAACACCTAGTTAAAATAGCTACCACTAGTTCTGATGATTCACAATTAATATCGCTATTAAAGTGGCTAAGTTTTAAAAATATAATCAAATGTTCTAAGGCATTCACTTTATCATAGTTTATTTGCTCTTTGACTGCCTACTATGAAATAAAATTAACAGATATTCAATAAAAACATGCTCGGAATTTATATTCCTCATTTCCAATGTCATTATTGAGATACGTCTTATTTGTAAAGCAGTTAGACATAATTACGGCGACTAAAGATAACTTGGTGTTAAATGACCAGCAGAGAACTATTATTGACATATCTAATAAATGGACACACGCAGGTAAGCTACGTGTTTTGGATTTTCATTTTCAGTTTCAGCAGTCGCTCTCAGTCGTGAATCGGTCGAAGGGAGAGATTCACGTTTTATCTCTCCTGTGTATAGCGCTATGAGTTTTCCGACCAGATGAAAATGTTTCCGTGAAATCGATACAATACTTAAGTACATTACAGTCATTTATTAAAGATATAACAATAAAGTTTTGTGACACTTTAAAGGTGTATCATTAATATTAGTCATATGTATTTTTTTTTTTTGTAAAATATGAGAATTGTAACTTAGTAGGTTTAATATAAGATGCTCTTATTAGTGATTCATAAAGAGATTTTGATGGATTGTTCAACATTGTCTTTTTAATTTATTTTTAATATTACAACGCCATTATGAAAGGTAAGACGAACGTATTATTGTATTAGATAGTTGGTACATCTAACTTAACGATTGTGTGTTAATTTTGGACCGTTATTATTTATGTAAATATATATATCGTCATGTCTAAGTAGTACCTACATATCTTAGATATATTAGGCGTATCTTACATAATGCGTGACAACTTGACTACCTATATCTGCACTTTCTATTAGACACCTACTTCACGTAAAATGTAGGTACTAAACAAATACTTAATTAACTTTTACATGCGTTGTTATTCTACCCTGATAGATGACAAATGCATGCGCAATTTAATTCACCTAATGTAAAAATAACAACAATAACGCAGGAAAATTAAAAGCAACTTGGTATAGAGATTAATAAAACAAATGAATTCTTATTAGTTCTGCCACAGATAATATAGATAATATTGCATAGTTTCTAAAGAGATTTATTAAATGTTGATAGTTTTAAAATTAGGTGATTTAAATTATTGACATAACATCTGTTTAGATACAATAAAGTAAATAGACATACATATATACTTCCTTAAAAGTTAGTATGGAGAATAGAGTCTCTAAATAATATAGGTTTACCAGTAGATGTATTCGTAGAACTCAGGAATATGATTCTGGTTCAGCTTATATTTCTTTATATACAGCACCCCAATATCTCATACCGATGACTCATGGCCTGAAGGATGATAATTAGATGATGATGATAGTCATAAAACAAACAGTGTTCTTAACTGAATGTAACGTTATGCAAACATTTATTTAAAAGATCGGCGGCAAAACTTTTGTCTTATCTTTTTGTGCTTTCCGAATCAATTGTAGAATACGAAAAGTGTCATCATTCAATTGATTATATTTCAGTTTATTTAAATAAATATCACCCCTATGCTTTTATTTTACAGTAACACAACAAGTTATACTATTAAGCCTTGTAACGGCGGTCACTCCGGACTTGCACCAGCTTAGAAACAATACAAATTATTTTATGAATAATCCCTGTTCAATAGTAAAACATACTGGCGGTCATTGCGAACTGATTAGTTTTAAACTCACCTGCCGAAATGGATTTACTCAAGAATGGTTGAATGGAGTCATGTAAGTAAAATAATTTGAAAATCGCTATCCATATAAATATTGTCTTGCCTAAATATCAGATTAAATATAGTTCATCTTATTTTTTCGTTTTATATATTTTCAAAATAAAATAAATAGTTAAATATGAGACAGTTTTCATGCTTTTAATTGTAGTTATTAATCTATTTGCGAAATAGAATACGAGTAGGTAGATTTGAAATTGTTGATCATTTCGAAATCAAGCAGTACAAAGGAAATACCTAAATATTAAACTATCAGAGCAAAATTCTGTGAAATAAAATATGCGTGTATAATCATATAAAATAGTATTTTTTACATATCAATGAATTTATGAGTCGGCAAAGTGATTAAGCCGGTCAGTCATGTCGAAGATCTAACAATAATCGTCAATTAATAAAGTAAGATTCTCAAGTATCAAACAAATAAAATGTCGCATGTACGGAAACTTAAATGAAGCTAATACTTCACAAAATGTTCCCCTTTACCCAGGTAGACTAAGTAAAAACTTTATCTCAGTCTCATCCATAGCCGTCAAGCAGCTTGCTAAAAAGACTAAAAAACGCGAAGTCCGCTGTACGTTTGCATATACTTATATTTAAATGGGCGACGGTTAATAAAATATATACCATCAGGTTGACCTTTGTTTACCATTCTAATTACATTAAATGAAAGGAAAAATTCTAATTGCAGTAAATGCACACTTAAAGATTAGATATACCAAACGATGCACATAGATATATTCTATAGTATTTATATAATTAACTAGTAGTATAATAATAATATATCATAAATCATAACTTCCATAGCGAGTCACATTAAACCAGTGTTTCCCAACCTTTCTAGTACCATGGTGGGGACCTTAGCGTTTCTAAAAACTTATGACCCCACCCACCCCATTCCATGTAACTTGAATTGTTCTCTTAAGAAACTTAACTTTAGGAATAACTCACCAGTTAAAGAAACAGTAAGTAAATATTCTAAAATACATTTACTAAAAAGTTAAATAAATATATAAAAGATTATATTCACATTCCATATAATTTTAATAAAGAGTTGTTAGGAAACACTGCATCAAACCATTCGGTATAAACATCATCAATATATAAATTGTTTATGCGCAGGTACGATATATTGCATTTACGTGTAATTGGATGGCCTGGCAAATGTTTCAATATAGGTCGCCTTCAAGAACGTTTTCCTAACTTAAGAAACTTCGAGTTAATTAACTGCACAAAGCTGAATTCTTTCAAAGGAAACTTCGAGGCGTCAACCAGAATAGAGGTACGGCGTATTGCTTTTCCGACTACGAAACTACATATTTTATAAACCTTGTTTTACATTTAGTATCTAATTTATTACATTTTCAATTAATGATATCACATTTATTGAACTTAAATTTGTAATTGTGTTGCATTCGATATAGATATGTAATAAATATGTAGGTACTTTAACTTTATTTTTCTAAAATAAAAGGAGCCTAAGTTACTGCTTATTACATCAATTAAAAAAATATGCTTATTACCTGCCAAAAAAAGACCCGTCAAAATCGGTCCAGCCATTTCAGAGATTAACCGGAAAAAGCAGACAGACAGACAGATAGACAAAAATTGTAAAAAATGTTATTTTGGTGTATATATTTAAATGTATAGATAATCATTTTTTACACATAGATTACACTTCATTTTAGGTGAGATTAAGTGAACCTAATTTTTGACTTCTTTTGATTCAATGACAACTAAATGTATTTCCCCAGAGAGATACAACTTTAGCGGATTTTTTACCTAATGCTTATCTGTTGGGGTATTTCTAAACATATAACTTCAGCTATTCCCAACAAATTAAAAATAAATCTTTCACGGTTGCTTACAATGATAATAACATGATAATGATAAATATCCCGTTTATAGAATGTGCATCTTCTTACAGATCTTAGCAGTACACGGACTTACATCCTTATGGGAAATACCACCAGAAATCGTCAAAAATATGAAAGAACTACGGATTATAGACCTAAGAGGAAATTTGTTGAGACACATTAAACCTGAACTCTTAAGAGGAAATAAATTGCAAGAAGTTTACTTAAGCGGTAAGTTATCTACAGCCGTGCGTGCCTTACTGGAAAAGTTACACATTAGTACTTTGTAATAGTGATACTATTTATTACTACGCGCACCCCGCAACTTCGTCTGCATCACTTACATCACATTTATCGTTGTATTTCGCCCAATTTATATAATATCTTTTAAAATTATATCCTATATGTTATTCTGATGTATAATATGAGCTATATTACTTCTTATAAAGTTAGCTACAATACAACTTATAAAGTTTCATCACAACCCGTTCAGTAGTTTTTGCGTGTAAGACTAACAAACGTCCGTGAAACTGAGCAATCAGTTAAAAATTACATTGATGAACTTAATAACTATAATTGCAAAGGGATTCATAATCTTGTCATGCCGTTTTAAATACAAAAAACAATAAATAGATTGATAACTCGTATTAGCATCCTAGTACATTCTGATTCTTAATAATATTGTTTCATTAAGTAATTATTTATGTCATAGAAGATATTATAATATTAAAAGAAAATATTCTAAATTCGGGCGTTAGGCTGTGAATTAACGGATCATTCGGATAAGATTAGTCTCGTAGTGTACAGCCGCGAGTAGCCAATAAATATATTTTTATTATATATAATTGAATGGCAAACAAGCTGATGACCAGTTGGTAATAGGTAGGTTTTATTTTATATTTTTATTGAGGGTTTTGGGCTATTGTCAGGTGCGTAGTAGTAGTGCGTATCTACATTGCTTGCCCTTTTTTTCAAAGTACTCTACCTAGTCCCACCAGGGACAAGAATTGAAGTATATTCTTAGGAGCGATGGTTTTTATCGCCTCAGGTTATAGTGTATACTTTCCAATGGAGATATTTCGTTTATTAGTGGGCTACAACCACATAGGAATGGTAAGTGGTAACTATAGTACATAAACATGAACACACTACCAACATTACATTTACGTCGTAACGTCCGTCCTACCACTCATAAGTTACCATTCTAGAGAACTAAGATGGCATGCCTCTTATCTAGTAACTTCACTGTATAATCTTACTTTACAAACGAATAAGAAACACAGCATACAAAGCAACCTTCTTAGCGGATGAAATAAATGAGACAAGCTACTTTTGTCTGCGCGTATTATATTTATAAAGTCTACCTCGCATATTTTATTTATTTCAGTCGTGTCGTCACAATGCTTCCACTGTAGATATGAATAGTATTCCGTAACTGAAAGCAGAATCAAATTACTCGACACTATATTCATATTTGCGAGTCTTTTGACCCTTTATTGAAAATGGCAGCGGAGTGATATTTTTGCCCATTTCTGCTATTTTTATACCTATTAATATATATATATATATATATGGTATATTAATGGTAACAACTTATTGCTCCAATAATATAATTATAAAAACACTGTCCTGGTTTTTTCCTAGTAAATAACGTTTCGCAATTTGTCTTCATAAGCAAGAAACAAACTGCGCTTTCTCATTTTTATTTTTCGCAGCATGTCGTCAACAATTAACTGAACCTAAGAAGAATAACTTTAGTTATTCTTCTTAGAGGCAAACAATCAATACGCCCTACTTCGTCTATTAACATAATGGGTTCTATCTGTCAAGTGTAAATATATGCTAGCCTGGTCTTTATAGGGACGACGAAAAGTCGCGATTTTTTGTGATTCCCCCCCTAGCACTTGAAATATTTTTTGTTAATGAATGTGTGAGAAGTTAAAAAATATACCTAAGTATTGGTAAAATATATGTAAAAAAGTACGATCTTAAAATATTAAAATACGTACCAAGTATACTTGAGCCGACTGGTATTGCAGGAGACGATGGTAAGAGACCGGACGGTATGAGTTTGATTCCATGGTAGATGGGCCGGGTGCTGGTATGGGATGCAACCTGTGCAGACACGTTGGCCCCAGCCCATCTACATGGAACCAACAACAGAGCTGGTGCGGCATGTGAAGCGGCTGAAAAAGCCAAAATATGTAAATACAGGGATCTAGTCTCCGAATATGAATTTGTCCCATTCGGTGTCGAGACCCTTGGTCCGTGGGGTCCTAGCGCTATAAGACTTTTCAAAGAAATAACGAAAAGATTAGTCGACATCACAGAAGACCGAAGAGCTGGCAGCTACCTTGGACAAAGAATTAATCTAGCTATTCAAAGAGGGAACGCTGCCAGTATCTTCGGAACGTTGCCTAAACGGGACCCCTTTTAATAATATATTTTAGTCATCATATTATATATTTTTTTTAAGCTTTTTAATTTTAGGTTCTTAGTTGTACAATTAGGTTATGTAAATACTAGTAATAAATTAAAATTTTTATTGTATTATAATACTATTATTTTAAGTATCATTATAACTATAATTTTTTTACAGACAATAAATGGGATTGCTCTGATGGTGGTCTGGATTGGTTGGCGATGGAACGTGACAATAACACACTTAGAAAACGTATCGTAGATTACTACGACTTAATGTGCCATCAAAAACTGTACATGGGGAAGCCGCTCCACAAAGTTATGGATATTATATGGGTAATTAAAATTAATTAGCTAATATTTCTAATTTATCATTTCATGTGACATTATGTGGAGATACTTTCATGAACGTATTAATTAAAGTGATTACATTTAGTAAAGATCATACGTATTATTTAATGTATAGCCAACGCTAGAGTTTTTAAAATAGGCAATATTATGGCAGGCTTTGCCTGAGCGAATTACGTATCATATTGTAAACTAGTATAAGAAATATTTGAGTACCTAACGTTCTTTATAAAGTCTACCCAGCTTATTAAGAATGATTGAGCAATAATTTACCAACCTGTACAAACTATCTCATTTATAATAGAAGTAGGATAGATGACAAATGGATAGCTGTGAGAAAATATAATATAACATATGTAGTATGAAAGTATGTCACCTCAGATCTCATTACAGATGTTACTGTCATGCCTACGTAATGTTGTAACTTTCCCCCCCTTTCCTATGAAAATGTTTCTACGATACCCTCTCTAAATATCAGAGGATCAGCTAAATATAATAGATCAAATACGCAATGGAACACTCAATCCTTTGGCCATATAAATAAATTATTGTGATCGTCTAGTATCGGTGGACCCGTTGTGTATGTAGTAACTATAGATTCTTTTATTGGTATATGATGGAGTAATAACTGCAAGATAAATATATATCTCAATAATATAATTATGATATAGAGTATTTGTTATGAATAATAATTATCAGGTATATAATTAAATCATTGAATCATTATGATTTTAATAAATCAGGTAGGATATGCAAAGTAGGGTTGCACTATACACCATTTGAATATGAAATGGGATGAGTATTCTTAGCACCAAAACAAAATTAGTTTATATTATTAAATCAACATTACAAGTGGTTTCACCAAGCTTGCGATGCTTAAAGTAGGTAGATAAAAATATAGTTGCCAAAGGCAAATCGAGACTGAATTCAGGATCTCACGACACAGAAGCTTACTTATGGATATAGACTCCTTCGGTTCTATGTGGCGATAGAGAGACTGTCAAAGAGACTGCCCGATCTCGAAACTAAATCCCAGCATCACTCGGTCACGTAGCTTACTTAATGGGGAATACCCTTCGGCTACATATAATGTGACATTGGAGATCACCAGTAATTGCAGTACGATAAATAATAATAATAGAGTAGTGTGATAGCTCAATGCCATCAACACCACAATATTGGTCAATCCAATATATAATGTTGATAATTGCTATATTACAAACATAGCATGTAAAGTTTATAAATTTACTTAATACCAAGAATACTCAAGGAATTAAGAATTAGATATTTGTGAATAAGAGCTAGGCTCTAATGTGATTGATTATATGTAAATTAGAATTACTTACATGGCGAAGTAATCTTTATATTGATGAGATATTATAAGCGGGAACTATAAGTCCCAAATCTGAATATAGATGTCTGGATGACACACATAAAGATCAATCATCAACCAAAAGGTAATGTTTAGTTTATAAGAAAGACTGTATGTCCTAATATAGTAATCAGTAATATTTGATTAATCACATAGTGAAATAGTCAAAATAATATAAATAATAGTGTCAGAGGTCTGTGACCTGGATTATTGTGATGTATGGACAACCACGAGGTGGATAGTCAATATGATAGAGGACCGGGGTCCTAGATATAAAAGCCAAGGCCTGATAATTGATAAAATGAGTAACCATAGGATGGATAGTCATAAATTATATTTTCATTGAGGACCGAAGCCCATGAATGTAATTATGTTTATGTATTTATATTTATATATGTATGTATATATACACATATAATATGTATATATAAATTAAAGTACTAAGAGTCCTAATATTATTATACTGAATATTTACGCTCAAGTAATTAGTATTTATTATTAAGGCTAAGGAATTGACTGGAACAAGAAGAATAATATTAAATATATTAATTAATAAAGAACCGAAGTTTCATAAGAATTGATTATAGAATAAAGGTGTAATACTATTATTACATATATGGTTGGTTATGTATTCAAATATATTCAAAATTATACATTAATTTTGATAATTGATCGTTTACATAAATCTCCGATTGTCCAATGGGTGATTGATAGAAATGACTGGAGATGTTACGATCCCATGTCTTATTTATATATTAGTACATTGAAGTTTATTAAATAATAAAACTATATAGTCCTATTATGATACCAGCTTAATTAGCAATTATACTTTTATATGTACATGTTTATTAAACCCACTAGTTATGATGACGATTTAGTCTTCATACCGACCACTGATGATTCAGGGAGAGAACCACAAGTGGTGCCCGAGACTTGTGACTCAGGTGTAGGTCTAAAGGATCCTTTTAGAATGCATTAACACTCACCTTCACTACTTCTGGTAACCTCCCATTCCCAACTAATAACCCCCCAAAAACTACAATATTCACAATTACATATCTTTTTACTTAACTGCTTAATATACACTTCTTCACCTATTAGTTAACGTTAATTTATTACAACCTTAATTATTAGTTTATACTATTCATGTAGAATATACTCAACAGAAAAGATAAGTGCACTTAACGTTACTAATTTCAATGTGATGTATTTTAATAGTTGCATTCGTGTAAATTCAATATGATAATTCTGTATTAATTTGATAGTTCCACTATTTATAGAATGCGAAAGACATCTCTATATCTATAAGGAAGTTATACTGAACCGAATTGCTACTGCTTCAGCTGGTTCATATAAACAATATTCAATATGGATTAATTCGTCTATTAATTACATATTTACTTTGTGCAGTGTATAATAAGTTGTAATATAATAAATGTAATGCGTCCTAAACTTTACCCACACAATGCTGCATATCCAGAGTAGCATCTCTATATTGATACACCAGCCATACAACATGCATACGGTAAAACTTAGGGTGTTAGACCTAGATAACCACTCAGTTATCAACTAAGTTAAATCCCTACTGGTTGTAGAAATCTCCACAGGGATCGTGGTCTAAAACCTTCATTGCGAGCTTTGACTCATCTCTCCTCAAATGATGGAACATGTGACTTCATCATAGATTCATCGATCTGAGCCTCTCTCTCCTCCTGATAAAAACTTCCACAACCTATTTATTATAAACTTCACTTACTTGCTAAAGTCTCCATAGAGATTTACGGTTCACATTTGATCATCATAAATTATTGGAAAATGTTACTTCAATAGTTTATTCATCGATACAAACATTTGCCTCCTTCTAATAAAGCCTTCAGCAAAAATATATATAAGACTCAAGGATCTTCCTCTCACTACATCTTCCGTGTAATGTAATATAGACATGTACTAAATATTAACCATGCAATATCTACATATTCGAAATAGTAAACGTAATTTACTATCCCAAACAAAGAACACCACACAGCAAGACATTTAGTGTGAATAATAGTTTATTTGAAATAAGTAATAAATAGTTGAAATAAGTGAATAAAATATTTATTGTTGATAAGTAACTGAACTATTATTAGCCATCATTATAAGTACAATAGGGTTTTACTATAACTTCCTTAAATTACCTTTATTTTAGACCTAGTAAGTTTATTATTAATATAATCTATAATATATAAAGCTGCATTACGGTGACTCACTCACTGATTGACATAGTTGTTCTCCCAGAAGGAGCGTCCGGGGGTCGAGACGATGTATGGGGGAAATGTTCCTTTGGCTAGGGTGACCACGAGAAAATTCCGAAATTTGGGAAAATCCAAGATGGCGGACAAAGATGGCGGCTAACTTTTACAGTTTCGCTCGGATCGATTCCGTTCAAAGAGTGATTTGGCACGTCTCGGCGGGACCCAGAATATGGCGTAAAAACAAAAAAAAAAAAAAAAATTAAAATCCAAGATGGCGGCGAAAAAATTGCCAAAAACTGGTTGAAAATTTTCTAGGGTTTCAAAAACCGAAATTCCCAGGGTAGTTGCGGGGGTGCTGGCGACACCGGTTGTAGGGCATAGGAAACTCGAAGGACCCGACCTCTAGGGAAAATTATGAAATTTCGAAAATCCAAGATGGCCGACGAGTTGGGGGCGTGTGAATTTGGTCCTAAAAATCCGGATTATTTTCAAAATCATTTTTTAGGTACAGGGCAACCCCGCAGCGAGTCGGCTTCTATGGGGCGATGATGGGTCTCGGTAAGAAGTATTGCCAGCGATAAAAAGAATTTCCGAATTTAGGGTAATTTGGGAGAAATGTCCCAAAAAGTGGGAAAAAATTTTTTCGGCATTTTTGACAAAAGAGGCATCAAGGCCTATCGAGAAACATCCCCTAAAGGGTTTTAGGTGGGTTTTGTTGGAATTTGCTGGCAACACCCATACATGGTTTGACCAAAATAGAAATTGGGGTGTCTCTCCAAAAACTGAAATTCCTAGGGTACTTGCGGGGGAGCTACCGATCCCTATTATAGGGCATTGGGAGGCTGAAAGACCCGGCCTCTAGGGAAAATTATGAAATTTCAAAAATCCAAGATGGCGACCAAGCTATGGGAGATTTAGTTTTTGGAAAAAATTTGGGATATTTTCAATCGAGTTTTTGCTGCACATGGCAACCCTGCAGCTAAACGCCACCTACTGACATGGGTAAGTCTGAGTAAGAAGATTTGCCAGGTCTAAAATTTTTCCCCGATTTTGGGTTAATTTTGGAAAAAAGTCCCATAAAGTGGGAATTTTTTTTTTTTGACATTTTAAATGAAGAACTCGTTTTGGTCTACTACAAATCGTCCCCTGAAGGGTTTTAGGTGGATTTCTTCAGAATTTGCTGGCAACACCCATACATCATCGGACAAATTTTGAAATTGAGGTCTAGCTTCAAAAACTGAAATTGATAGGGTACCTACGAGTACGCTAGCTCAACGCACTGTACGGCGTCGGATAGCCGAAGGACTCGGCCTCTAGGGAAAATTATGAAATTTTAGAAATCCAAGATGGCGGCAGAGATAGGGGAGTTTTGCTTTTCGGAG